CATCCAAAATAAAAGTTTTTGTTCACATAATGTGTGTGCACTGTGTATAATTATTATGTATATATAAATACACACACATGCATGTATATAATTAAGACATTTTTTTTATATGTTAAATATATTTATGTATAATATAAATTATATGAATATAAATATATACATGTAAATACATGTAAATATTTTCAAAATATATACTGTATGTGTGTATTTATAAATTAAAATAGTACACACACATATATTATGTAAACAAAAACTTTTATTTTGGTTTCGATTAATTGCGATTAATCGTTTGGCAGCACTAATATATTGTTCAATGTTTGGACCTTTAGCCCATGCTAGAGGTAGTGAAGGAGGAGCCTTGTCTGAAGCCAGCAAAGGTGAGCCGTAACAAACAGAGAAAAAGCTTCTCGCGGAACCGCACGCACATCGGACAGCAGAGGCGGCGAGCACGAACGGTCAGCGCCTGCTCCGACTTGCCACCCAGTTCCCCTGGTGACACTTTAGAGCCCTTAACAACAGAGACTCATGATGGAGAGTCGCCCTCGGCCCCTGAGGCTGACGCTCCGCCGATACATGCCCCTGACACCAGCCCACCCCACAGCGACTCACCCTCCCCAACTTGCCGCAGTGGACAGAAGTACCTCAAAACTAAAAAGGTAGAAATCTTCACCCATAGAATGCATTTCACAGCAGTTTGTTGTGCATTTTACAACTTGCATGTTCTCTTTTCCAACAGCACTTAGTGAGCGAGTGGATGGGTGTTGACAAACAGGAACAGGGTGCTTCGCGGACTCCAGAGCCTCCCCCTGAAAGGCCTTTGCGGATCAGTAGTGATCCTGAGGTCTTGGCCACACAGTTGAACTCTCTACCGGGCATGGCCTGCAGTTCACACGTCTACAGCACACCCAAACACTACGTCCGCTTCTCATCTCCTTTTCTGGCCAACCGTAGCCCCAGCACTCTGGGAGTGCCCACGGGGCGGCGGCGCTCGAGAGAAATGCCTGAAACACCACCTACCACTGGGTCCTGCAAGAAGGTAAAATTGCTGCATTATTTAGAAATGTCAGCCAGTATCATTGACTTTTGCTTCTCTGATAATAAAATGGTTGTCTGGCAATTGATACTGCAGGGAAAAAAAATCCCACACATTTTAGCTCTTTAATATTCACTTTCAAGTTTTCATATTTAGGCTAGCAAGTTTCTGGTCTAACTCGATATTCTTTTGTGCAGCGCTGGCTGAAGCAAGCTTTAGAAGAGGAGGGCTCCACCAGCCCAGGTGGAGGGCTCCCTTCTCTGCTGATGCCTAGTGAGAGCCCTCTCAGCCCCTCTATAAATGGCGAGTCCTACAGCCCTCTACCCCTCAACGGCAGTTGCTCACTACCAGGTGGGTCAGCAGTCCATGTCCTGCTGCAAATTAATAACTCAAAGCTTGTCTAAAGCTGTACTTAGTCTTACTTGGTCCATGTGCTTGCAGAGTTGCCTACCCCTTTGAAGAAAAGGCGCTTATGTTCACTCGATCCCTGTATGTCCGAGACTTCCACCCCATACGGGTCTCCTTGTGCCACCCCAACCCGAACGGAGTCAACAGAAGCACCAAGCACGGCCCTGCTGCTTACCACGCCTCCTCGGCCACGGCCAGAGGAACCCAGTACTGAGCCCTCAACACCCTTGCAGATTCCCAACCTCCCTCTGCCACAAGAGGTAAGGTTGTTGCCGTAGACGTGCCTGATATTTCAACAATTAAACCTAATGAAAATGTATAGTATATATATAAAACTTATATATGAACTTCAAATGTTAATCCATAGAATTTTGTGTTTGTGAGTGCAGTCTCTTTAAAAGGATTCTTAAACGTTTAAAACCTAATCCAGTAATCTTGAGCGAAATGTAGTGGAAATGTTTTGCCCACAGATTTAATGAATGTTATCTCCAAAATATGAGAACTCTATGGTTCTGACACAAGAGGGCACTAACACTTTTGCTATTGGCCAAGCAGGGACGGTTGTCACCAGTGGTGATGGGCTTTAATTGATTGGTCACTTCTGCGGTGTTGATTTGAAGCATTATTTTGGCTAAAGGCAACAAAATGATCATGAAATATCTTTGCAAATTCACAGAGTGAGTCATCTATGGACAGCTCTCCAGATGGAAGCCGGAGGCCCAGTACACAAGACGTGAGTTCACTGCTTAAATATCCTGTACCTGCTGCAGAGGTGTTTTGCTGCATTTTTCATTAGCACATCTAACACATCTTGCTGTCTTTTGTCAGGTTGAGCGACCTCCTTCGCTGTTGGCATCACCCAGCGTGAGAAATGCAGGCTCTGATACGGGTCCACAGGAATCTACAAAATCTATGGGGTCTCCGAGTCCTCAGCCCTCCCATGCTGAACCCCAGGATGCCGCAGTAGATGAAGGCATGGAGGTTGAAGGTGGTGGTTCAGAAGCTGCCTCAGCACCCGAGACACCAGCCTCCTCTTACCCTCCCTGGATGAAGAGTCCAGACCGAGGTGGCCTCTCGTTTTCCCCAGTGAACTCTAATCTGAGAGACCTCACCCCTTCTCACACCTTGGAGATGGGGGCGTACAGGCCGGATTCAACCTCCGCTGGCCCCTTCAGTGAGGCGGCACCCTTTTATTCTTGCAATGAGGAGAGCAGCGGCGTGACCTTTACTCGCTCATTGAGTGGCGATGGCACAGGGGAGGGAGGTGCTGCAAAGAACCCGCAGAAGAAAAAGGTCTGTTAAAGCATCTGACAGATGTATAGATGTACAATTTTTTTGTCCGCTAAACTTAACTGAAGAAATAGCTGGAATAAATTTTATCAAAAAAATATGTATGCCTTTTATTCGACTTTGTTAACTGACATCTCGTGTTTGTGTTGTTAGGTGTCTCTTCTAGAGTACAGGAAACGTCAGCGTGAGGCACGGCGAAGTGGTTCCAAGGGAGAGTGTGGCTCCCCTGTTTCCACAGCATCACCAGTAGATGTTTTCCCTGTCGCAGTGGAAGTGGCCCCTGAGCCACCTGTTCTCACAGCAACGCCAACCCCCAGGACACCTCAGCACAGCGAGGAGCCAGACGCCCCACCTCAGGGGGAGAGAGACGGAGAAGGGCAGTGGTATGTCCCTAAAGTGTATTCCCTTCCATGAGAATGAACTAGTCACACTTTAACAGCTTGAAATTTGTTTTAAAGGTTTGGATTAAAACTCTTATCAAGAAATCAGGCTGTCTTGTGACTTTTTAGATATTTGTGGAGATATCTTGGACAGTTTGATGGCCAGTTGGGCCTGCTGAGTTTTGCAAATTATGTTTTGAAAAGAACATTTAAGCATATACAATTCTCTTTTAATTTACAGGACATCTTCAACATCAGTAGAGCAGGCCAGGGAGCGAAGCTACCACAGGGCCTTGTTGTTGAGTGACCATCGCAAGGATGCAGGTAAAAACAACCCTGGAAACATAAGGGAATTTTTTATTGTGATTTCCATGTTTGTTTGTTTTTTGTGATAATTGTTAAAACCCATGAATTGATACCTGACATACAAATGGAAGTTTTTTTAAAAAGGTTCATCCAATAATCCCAGAGGTGTCCAATTCTGCTCCTAAAGGACCACTTTACTGCAGAGTTTAGCTCAGACCCAAATTAAACAATGAAATGGGTATTCAAGGTAATCAGGCAGGTGTGCTGGAGCAGTAGGTTGGAGCTAATCTTTGTAAGAAGGTTAGCCCAAACAACTGGAGAAATAAAGGAAATGCATTGATAAAAATGTGTGGGAACATTGATCTTCTAATCTTAATATTAAAATACCTGCTTTGTCTCGTTTTCAGACAGTGGAGAGTCAGAGGGTGGCGACTCGCAGGTGAAGGAATGTCCTTCTCCCAAGAGCTGCAAGAGCCCCTTGACACATGCAGTAAGAGAACCTTCCCTCAATGTAATATTTTTTCTTGGCAGCATGATTTCTCAACCAAGCAAGTTCATGTTATCATAAACCATTTTTCTTTCCATTTACAGCCTTGTTCTCCAGCACCCCAGACTGTGTCTCGACCATCCAAGGAGGAAGATGGTGAAGCACAGTCTCGTGGTCCTTCTCAGCCTCAGGCACTGTCCGTCCAGCAGTCCAGCACCAAGACTTCGAGCTCCAAACCAGCCGCACTGACGCCCAGCAAGCTCCACTGCGGGCCTTCCGGTGCCTCGCAGAGTCACTACGCTGGACCTTCGCTCATGCACTCTCCCAAAGCGCAACCCCAAGCTTCACCTTACCGCGGCCAGCGAGCCTTCCTGACAGCTCAGCCTCAGAACCAGCCTCAACCCCAGGCTACATCTGGCCCGGCCACTTTCCCTCAGTATCCCTTCGTCCGCCCCCTTTCACAGCACCGGCTACTTGGGCACAGGATGGCACTGACCACACCCACTTAACCCACTTGGGGGGGGGCTACATCGTGTAACATAGGCAACACAGCACCACTGTAAATATTTTCTATGTACCTTTTCACAAAGACTAATGAAAACCGGTGGGGGAAAAGGGGTACATTTTAAAAATAAAAACGAGAACTGTAAAAGTAGACTTTGTGTAAAAGATGATGGTTAATGAACCCTGGTGCTCATCACTTACCCAGAATCCCCCACACCTCTCTCCTTCCCATAATCTTGTACTGCCATCCTGTCTTTTCCAGACGTCTTTTTTTTATTTTTAATGTTTTTATTCATTTTAATCACCCTTTCCAGTCTCTTCCCGTTGAATCCTTCCTCTATCCTCCCAGTGCAGTGCAATGCAATGGTACATTCCAGTTTCCTCCTTACCTTTCCCTGTTCTTCCCGTTTCTCACTGTTTTTCATTCATCAGTTATTTGTTTTATCTAGTGGCTCATTATATAGCAAAAAGGTTTTGTATAGAGAAAAAAATACAGAATTATTATTTTTTTTATTCCTCCATGTAACAAAAATATCTGTGCACCGCTGCAGAAATTCAGAGGAGACCTTTCTGATAGGCCGCTTCACTGCCCCAGGAGACTGCACTTGTGTGAATGAGCGAGTCTGTGTGCATGAGTGTCTGTTTTTAACCGGAAGGGAGCATGTATGCTTGCGTGCCGCCCGTATCCGTGCGCATATTTGAAGTGCGCATGAGAAACGGAAGGCACATACGGCACAGACAGATGCGTGCTGTTCTCTGTGGCAGCTTTAGAAAGAGAGGTCCTTCCTGTAGGGGGTAAGCGGTTTATTTTTGAATATCAATGGTTATTTGTAGAAAGTGTAATTTAATGTATAGGTGGTTACTCCAGCTTTCTCCAGAAACAGTTGTAAATATTGGCTTCTTTTCTTTTCTATGCTTGTATAATTCGCTCCCATCCCCATTTTGGAATATGGTTGTAAATACAAGCGCTCTTGACAAAAACGCTGAATGTTTCTGTGACTGTAGCACTATTTTTATTTCTTCCTCTCTGGTTTATTTTTTTTTTTACTGTTTGTGTGTGAGTGTATGTGTGTGTGAAGGACAGAGGCTCACAGACACAGCACTGGTTGGCTATTTTCATGGTTCATTATAATAAATCACTGTAATGACAGTTTTATACCAACCTAATGTCTTGTGTGTTTTACTAAGACAGGAAAGGGGGCTGTTTTTGATGTTTACATGTTCCTAATGTGAATTTTTCTTTCACTGTGAAGGTCACTATGTGAAGAGGTGCTGCAATGAAGGTTTGAAGAGACTGCTGTTGCTGAGACCTATCTTAAGGTTGTCATTGAAAATATAAACCTAGTCGTTTTTTGTCATTAATACCTGATAGATGCTTGAAAGAAACTGTTTTTGCTTAGATCGAACAGAACGAAGGAAAAGAGGTTTTATGACCAATCAGAATGAAAGCAGACTTGAGAAGCCCAATCGGAATGAAGGCAGCGAGATTACATGACCAATCAACGTCAAGCCAGAGGTTATAATCAGCTGGAACGAAGGTAGAAAGGTTATGAAGAAAGATGAGCATAAGAGCTGCATAGATACAGTTAGCTATAACCGCCAATGTTTGTACGTTTCTCAATAACACAATGCGCAACTTTTGCAATGTTGAAGACTGCGCAGATGTTGGGTCAGTATTACCTAGTGCAGGTCTGGGGTATCCAGTCCTGCTCCTGGACGGCAGATTTTGGTTACAACCAGCCAAAAACACACTTGCCTGGAAGTTTCTAGCAATCCAGAAGAACTTGATCGGTTGGTTCAGGGGTGTTTAATTAGTATTGGAGCTAAACTCTACAGGACATTGGCCCTCCAGGAGCAAGATTGGACACCGCTGGCCTGTGGGAAAAAAAAAAGAAAATAAGATAAATATTACTGTTTGTTCTTTACAGCAACGCTCAGAATGAAATATCTTGATTGTAGTCTGTAGAGGTAAAATCTTTATTCATTAATGTGGGTGAATTTAATTAACTTTTATAACTAATACATTTTAATGGTGTATTTACAGCATTTTCTACATATAACATCATCTGACAAGACAGACACCCAATAAATAAAGCAAACCATTTTTTTTTCTTTCCCTTCAGAACTTCATCCAGCATTGTCCAAACTCTTCAGCTGTCTAAGAAGGGAGGGAGTGCCACTAGGTACACAGTGAGGTCATTTCCTGTGGGCTTTTGCTTTTTGAACCACATTCTCCAGGTTTTCCCATGGCATTTTCATCCTAGGCTGTTCATTTATCTTGGTGGGACACAATGATTATACCAAGAGTACAAAACGGTACCAGCTGAGAACATCATAATTATGGCACACATAACTATACAGCACTAACACTGCCGAGAAGTAAATATCGAATTAGAGACATACAGAAATTCAACATATACACTCAATACATAATACTTAAAACACTCTCCTACTTCTGTATATACTTGGCTTGTGCACAATTACTAATGGCAGAGATGTCTGCCCCTAATTTTGACACTTATTTTTAAAATATATTAACAGTGAACTCTCAACTTCTGTTTACATACCCCTTTTAAACAATGTTGGATAGTGTTGTGGTGAAATAACTGTACATTTTGAAACCCGATAAATGATCACTTGCCTGTAAATTGGTTCTCAGGTAAGTGGTCAGGATTCAGTGTTTTTTTTTTTAGTCCAGGGGTGGTGTTGATGGATAAATAACAGGCCAGAAATGTCTCTGTGGTGCAGCTCTATGCCGGAGTGTGCATCCCATGATTTAAGCCTGTAAATGTTTTCTTCTATATTGGAGAATCACGTCAAATAAAACAGTACAGTTTTACTGTAATTCATAAATCCCAAAATATTAACATTATTGTAATGCAGGCCTTTAAAAGAGGACACGATGTAAAATAAATAAGACTTTTTTTTTAAATTATTATTATTAATCCAAGTCAAAGTTACTTCTAAACGGTGCATTAGCTGCCCTATCATGTTAGTAGCACAGAACACGGTAAATCAAACTAGGGTAGGGATTTGTTGAGAAGCAATTCCAGGGAGTGAAGTGCAAAGAAGGGATATGGACAGAAAAGCAGTGAGTTCCCAACTCCATTCACCCCGTTTGCATCCTTCGCTTTAAAGTTTTTTTCAAACTGCTGCAGTCAGGCTTCCTTCCCTCAGGATGATGGGTAAAGCTGGATTGTGATTTCATATAATGATTTTCCTTGAACAAGACAGAAACACCTGAAAACAGATTAAAGCGATGTTTTATTATAAATTCACAGCATTGCACTTGAGAAATTTACACATGGAAGCTAAACTTGAGATCATTTAAAAAATTCACTCAAAACTGAAAGCAGTCTAATTTACTCAACCTTGTGTCATTCCTAACATGACTTTATTTCTACACAAAATAAGGCATTTTGAAGAATTTGTCAGCGAGGTCTAAAAAAAAAAACATGGGACCAACTGACTTTCATTCTATGGACAAAATGTTGTTTTATTCTTTCTTTCACAGAAGAAAGGAACTCGTACAGGTTTTTCATATCGCAAATTTTTGAAATTGAAAAAAAAATTAAAAAGCCGTTTAAAATGTACATTTGAAGTCCAACTGTGTGTAATTTCGGTTTTGGAACAAACGTAAATAGATCTTTTCGAGATCAAAAACATTTTTAAATAATCATATAAACCCTAACCTTTTGAACACTAGTGCGTCTAAATTAAATATTGAGTATGTCTGAGCCTAACTCCGTTTCAGTAGTAAATACGTCAAAAAAGGCAAAAATAAAGTAACGTACGACGGGGAAGTCGTAGCCCAATGGTTAGAGAGTCTCGGGACCGGCAGGGATTGTAGGTGGGGGGAGTGAATGTACAGCGCTCTCTCCCACCTTCAATACCACGACTGAGGTGCCCTTGAGCAAGGCACCGAACCCCCAACTGCTCCCCGGGCGCCGCAGCATAAATGGCTGCCCACTGCTCCGGGTGTGTGTTCACGGTGTGTGTGTGTTCACTGCTGTGTGTGCGCACTTTGGATGGGTTAAATGCAGAGCACTAATTCCAAGTATGGGTCACCATACTTGGCCACATGTCACGTCACTCACTTTTTAACTATTTCATGGTATTTTTTAAGTAAAGACTCACTCATACTGACCAACACTCACTCACCTGAGTGTATCTGGCGTCTATGCATTTCCACTTTCTGTTGAGGAAAAAAAAGGAGAAAAATCTATCAAACTTAAAGCAAAATCGCAGCTTAAATCCATAGAGTAATTTTCAAATGCAGCAGAAATATTTATCAACTACTGACAGCTGTCACAGTTGATAAATACACATTAAATAGACCTTTTGTTTCTGATTTTCTTAAATACTGCCAAGCTGGGATAAACCTAACCAATAATTTCCACTAGATGGCACTAACACCATCATGTGCCGTCACAAAATATGACATAACAAATTCTGTTTCTGCAAGATTAAGAAGTGAATTGCTCAGTCATCATTATACAAACATCCTTAATCACCATTTGCATTGTGCAACTCATCAGTTTCATATAAAACCTTAATACACGTATAAGTGACCCTTCATTACCATTATATAAAATAATAATTATGGCCCAGGACGTCCTGGAAGTGTAGTTTGTTCTTTTATTAAACTTCATTATATGAAGCATTTTATAGTTCATATTCATAAATAGTGTTTTGCTGCAGGTGTGCTGTTCAGCATAGCATGGGTTCCAGCTGATGCTGTGCCTGTGATTAATATGGACAGGCTGACAGCAAGCTGTGTAAATTAGTAATTAGTAATTCATGGCTGGGCCCAGAGCCCCAGGCTTCAATTAACCCCAGTCCATGGTAAATTCTACCTTTCTATCTTTCCTTCACTTGCTCTTTTCCTCTTCTTACTCGCTCCTTCTCATATCTCATTTCTTTTCACAGCCCTATCATCTGATTCTATCCTTAATGGCCATCGCTCTGTCTTATTTTCTCAAGCTGGTCTGTCCTCGCTCGCCTCTGGCTGGCTGGCTCTGTCTAGTAATGAATAAATTGGACCGAATGGCACAACAGCTGCGCATTGAAAACTGATGTGTTAGAACATTTATGGGGAGAAATGGAGAATCCAGTTTGTTATTCTTCATTTTCATTTATGTAAATTATGCATTTTGTGATTATAATTAAACCATATAATGTGTATGAGAAATGCACACAATTAGCCAGGCCATTTCTGCATTCATTCACAGAGAAAAGTTTGATTGCGCACTCCTTGTTAATTTCACCTCTTTGTTTTTTTTTAGCATTTCAAAACATAATTGAAATTCATCTCATGTTACCTTAAAGGGATAGTTCACCCAAAAATGAATAATCTGTCATTAATTACTCACCCTCATGTCGTTCCTACGGTGACCGGGAGGTGACATGTTCGGTTCACTTTGTTTTGTCGTGGCCACGACATAACTCGTGGGAACGTGATATGTTGTGGCCACGAGATCATTTTGTCGAGGTAATGACATCCTTATGTCGATGCTATGTTGAGGGAACGACATCCATTTCTCGTGGCCACAACTTCTTATGTTGAGGGAACGACATATTTTTCTCGTGGCCACGAGTTTAATGCGTAAACAAACCCTGATAATTATGCCAATAAAGTTTTGAGTTTATGATTGTATTTATGCCCGTGTGTGATGATAAATGAGCGTGTTGTGTTTTCATTTACAAATGAAACACTATAGTAGGCCTATTTATAATTATGGTCTATTAATTAGCCGAAATAAAATGAAATATATGTCGTTAAGTAAAGAGATCGAAATGAATGGAAAAACGAATATAAACTAATATAAAAATATAACCAATAATAATAATATACAAATATAATGGGAAAAAGACGATCAGTTAATGGACTCACAAGACTGTGGGATGGATAAAAATGTTTTCTTGTAGGCCTATTTTATATTATGCACTTTATGTAACATTTATTCATGATAAACTTCATTTGAATGCTGACTATCGCACGTAATACAGTCCTTTTGCCAAGGCCTATGGTTAATATAATAATTTAATCATTTCTATAATAATTCATATAATAATTTCTTAATTCAAAATAAAATATTAATGAATCCATCTCTGATAATCCCGGGTTGCTATGGTCACGCAGGTTTGTTTACGCATTAAACTCGCGGCCACGAGAAATGGATGTCGTTCCCTCAACATAGCATCGCGTGGCCAGGACATAAGGATGTCGTTACCTCGACAAAATGATCTCGTGGCCACGACATATCACATTCCCACGAGTTAATATGACGTTCCCACGAATTAATATCTTGTGGGCACGACATATTATCAAGTTATTATGGCGTGGCCACGACAAAACTAAGTGAACTGAACATGTCAGCTCCCGGTCACCGTATGTTCCAAACCTGTAAAGACCTTTTTTCATCTTCGGAACACAAATTAAGATATTTTTGATGAAATCCGAGAGCTTTCTGACCCTGCATAGGCAGCAACGCAACTGACACGTTCAAGGTACAGAACGGTAGTAAGGACATCGTCACATTGTTAAAATAGTCCATGTGACATCAGTGGTTCAACCTTAATTTTATGAAGCTACGAGAATACTTTTTGTACGCGAAGAAAACAAAAAGAATGGCTTGATTCAACAATGTCCTTACTACGCTGCTGAGCCTTGAACATGTCAGTTGCATTGCTGTCTATGCAGGGTCAGAAAGCTCTCGGATTTTATCAAAAATATCTTAATTTGTGTTCTGAAGATGAACAAAGGTCTTACGGGTTTGGAACGACATGAGGGTGAGCAATTAATGACAGAATTTTCAGTTTTGGGTGAAATATTCCTGTCATTTGGTAATACTCACAAATTGTTTAGTATGCAATTGCTTCAAATTTTGGCCCCATGTCTGTACACTTAAAAGTTTACCAAAATACTGTTTCTGAAAACAGGCCAAATATATATACAAATATTTGTTCTATACTAATGACACTGTCCTTCCCCTTACATCACTTGCAACTGACTAACAATAGCAAGTAGCAGATCATCAAGTAGCGATAATGCTTAGATTTCACAACCAAATAGTGTTTTCGTCAAAGGGACCAAATATCAAGTTGTTTTTCTATTTGTATTTTTTGTTTTGAACAATATATGAATTGTGTATAACCTCTTATTGTCCAACACTCTTTCAATTATTTATTTGCATAAATAAAAACAGTAACTCAAGTTGACAGGGGTACGTCTGCATTCTCCCATGGTAAGACATGACAAAGACATGGAATAACAATTCTTTAGACAAAATAATGTTAATCTTACTGTCTCCCAGCAGCTCCTCGGACATGAGTCCATCCTGCCTGTTGCCCAGCACAAAAGCCAGGAAAGAGAGAATAAGGGCATCCAAGATGCCCATAATGGCCAGGATGTACGCCCAGCGCACTGAGCATGCTCCGATGGTGTATTTGTCCGTCCCTTCTCCGCACATCCTCTTCACCTCATCAGCATCCCAGCCATCAGGATATATCATACAGCCCAACACCAGACACAAACCTAAAAGAGAAAGCAGGCATTGTGAGTCGTCCAGGTAATAAAAGGTCTACGGATTTAATCAACAGCAGAATGCATTTCTGTTCTCAAGCGATATGATAGATGGCAGTTGTTAAATGTAAGCTGGGGAACAAAATCAGCTCCAATGAAAGAAGTCATGGCAGTTTCTTTTGTTCGATTATAACATGTCTGACAGCTGAGATGAATGTGGAGAGAGGTACCAGCAATACCGGACGAGCCCCCAATTTATATTCACATACATACCCACAAAGCTCACTATTGAAAGCTGCTATGAGTAATTTTTGCACACCAAATGAAATTGCAAAAGTTTGTGCGGGTGGTGGTTTTGCAGTTGCTTGCTTGGGTGTTCTGGTGGTTTCTAAAAAAAACTTCCAGCTTCCAGGTTTCCATGATATTCTGGTCCCTAGATTTGTCCAAGTGCCAATTTAGAGCCTGCCAAAAATATAAGTCTGACAGCTTGTCCACCATTGCTCAAGAAGTTCTTCCTCAAACTCATGAGACTGGTTGAGCCAGAAGTGTGTAAAGAAAGCAATTCAACACGTCTCACTTATCTGAACCACCCATCTCATGTCTTGGAGGCTCTAGTAATGTGTTGAATCAGGTATGCTTTATTAGGAAGTGTTCAAAAATGTGTACTATTAATGTGCCACCAGGAACAGGGCTGAGAAACACTTGTCTTATCTAGTTTGTGACAGCCTGTGAGTTGTAGTACCCTTCTATTACCACATACTCCACAGAACAAGCAATAGATCTGATCTCAGATCAGTTGCGCCGACATCATCCCTGATGAATTGAGACCGGAAAACCGCATCTTTCAGGAGTATCAGACCATAATCATTGTAAATCCTGGAAGACATTGTGCTGACAACGGTGAATACTGCATGTGCCAGTTTTGATTCATCGATAGTGTTCTGCAGATGCAATCAGTTACACAAGAGGAAATCATTTATAATGTAACCAGGGCTTCTCTTTGGGTTGTTAGACAAATTATTGTGATGCTGCCTTCAAGTCATGTAGGGTTGATCACACAAGACATGAAGGGCACCACAATGCTGTAGTTACCAATAGAAAAAAATTGGATTTTCTTTAAAACATGACTTGGAGGTCCCCTTTGTGTTTTCTTTCCGTGTTGGAGTGAATTTCCTCTGGGTGCTCCGGTTTTCTCCTCATTTCAAAAAGTGTGAATGCATGAGAGTATTAACCCTGCAATGGACAGGTTAGTACTAAGGTGTCCAATCCTGCTTCTTGAAGGCTACCGTCCTGCAGAGTTTAGCTCTAACACACCTTCCTTGAAATTTCTAGTGATACTAAAGACCTTGATTTTCTGGTTTGGAGGTTTTTATTTGAGGCTAAGCTAAATTCTCCTGGAAGGTGGCCCACCTGGAGCAGACCCCTGGACTCTATATGCATCCAATCTCAAATATGTTGGAATAGGCTCCAGCACTTCCACAAACCTACATAGGACAATCGTTCTGAAAAATGAATGGATGGAATTTATACACATATAGTGTTGATGAAAAACAGCAATAAAACTTTCCATAAAGTTTGATTTATTTAGCTTGTTTATGAGGCAATAGACTTCCTGAGCTATACTACTATTCCCATTTTCTGTGGTAGTGAGAAAATTATACACAAAGCATCAATTACACATCTAATTTACATTTTTGTTCTTCGTTTTCTTTTTTGCTTTAGTGACAAAGCATCAAGTCATTGCAAGAAAGTAAAAAAGAGAAAAATCTATGAAATTGCCCAACTGTTTATTCTGACCAAAATCACTTAAATGCATATCATGTAGTAATTACGACTTCCGAACCCATAAGTAGGAACTTCCCAGCAGGACTTGAAGGCAGCATAACTGGTTGAATGAACCAAGGAGGACAGATTTAGCACAGTCAGAAAGAAAAAGTTAGAATAGGAAAAAAGAAACTTAAACGGGTGCGTGTAGAAAGTAAAACGGTATCATAAGACCTAAAATAGCCCACGTATGGATAGTGCCAAATGAATCAGGCATGATTAACACATCTCCTACTTGTCTTTGTCACACAGTTTGCTATGTCATAAAATAGCTATAGAGACATGAACAGTCACTAAAAGCCTTTTCCTGTGTCCTATATCTCTGTCCTTCTATCTCTCGCTTTAATCTCTTGGTTCGTGTGTCTAATAAGCGAAACTTCAAAAGACATTCATCATCATTATATTAATAGCCATCAGCAGTCTAATAGTAATCATATTAAAGCTGAGAGCCAATCACCCTCATCCCTGCGTCCACAGTTTATTTGCACTGCAGTCACTCTATAGAGTTCATAGGTTTCCTCTTGGGGCTGTTTATAACAGTGCTACTGAACCTATACTTCTGTAACCAGCCTTCCTGCTGTTGTCGAAGTTGTCATCTAAGTTCTTATGGTGGTACACCATGTCCTATCCAGGCACTACATAAGTTTTCAGTGACAAGTAATTTGTCTGTCCACATTGAAAGTGAAAATGCTGCACGATGCAACACTATCACAACCAATCAGAACATAGATGTTTAAAATACATTTATGTGGAGCAGGATTTTGGACCAACGAGACTCAAGTGTGGATGGGATTACATTGGCAATGCTACGAGAAATAAAAACCAAATGACAGAGAAACAGTTTATTTCCATGCCTTTCGACATGTCAATTTCTGGCTTAAATGGAATTGTTTAATCAACAATTCGTCTCCTCCGCGTCACTCTATAGAGCCATTTTGGAGAGTATCACATATGTAAACGTATGTACGTGGATACGTTGTTTACGTTCAGATCAAAACGTAAACAGCGTATCCGCGTATGGTGCTGCTGACACAGAACAGCATACGTTGTTTACGTATGTGATACTCTCCAAAATGGCGCTATAGCATGACGCGGAGGAGACGAATTGTTGAATAAAGTCATTATTTTAGTTTTCTTTGCGCACAAAAAGTTCTCGTAACTTTGTAAAATTACGGTTGAACCACTGATGTAACATGGATTATTTTAACAATCTCCTTGCTACGTTCCTGAGCCTTGATCGTGTAAGGATCCTTGCTGTCTATGGGAGGGTCAGAGAGCTCTCGGATTTCATCAAAAATATCTTAATTTGTGTTCCGAAGATGAACGAAGGTCTAACAGGTTTGGAACGACATGAGGGTGAATAATTAATGACAGAATTTTCATTTTTGGGTGAACTATCCTTTTAACTAGTGATGTGAGTTTGGGCCCCAGTTTTTTGACCAATGACAGATGGAGGAAGAGTTTAGAAAACCTATTTAGAAACAGTTGTTTTAGCAAAACTGTTTGGTGGTAGTGCAGAAATTGCGTATACCTGTCACGTCACTATGGGACTCACTGGGGGGGAAGGCTGCTGAGAGTACTGCGTTAAAACCGGCCAGATTCTTGGACACACACACGCACATTATGTGGGAAATGCTTATAAATAATAGAAAACATCAGCATTTTCTCTCATTTCACATCCTCTCCAGAGCCTGCAGCACTGCACCACACATATACTAATGAAGAGGAGCTCTTCAGCTAAACCTTTCAATGTTATCGAAGAGACACACACAGCTGAGCTCTGATAATGAGCTGTCCTTATCTCAACCATCTTGCAAAAGACAAGCTGTCTTTTTCATCCCATTTTGTCTTATATTTATGTAATAGATGCCGCAGAATAGATTATGGAAAAGCAACCTTGTGGTTCTGTAGTATCGCTAGCTCTTTTCTAATAGATTAGACTGCGGTTGTATTGTGCGGGCTTTGATTTGCTGGCAGCGAGCACTCATGCTGCATCTGGGTCAGTGAGAGTGCTCTGAATGCAGATGCTGTGAGTGTCACATCCGAGATGTGTTTGTAGATAGAGGCTATAAATAAACACAGTTAAAGAGGAGAATTCTGCATGTGAGAGAGTGTTTCCATAAGGAACGATACATGTGTGATACCCTTCTCCTCCCCCTTAGACTTTCCTCTTCTCTGCATATCTATTTTTCATGCTATCCTGTAATCTCAGCCAACGATTTATTGATTAAGCCCCTTGCAGGGGGATAAAGAGCTGTCCAGAACACAGGGAGCTAAAATATACAGGCAGCTACTTGACTAATGGAGCAGTCCCTTTCAAAAGTTGTTCTGAACTTGTGTTCACCTAAAAATTTACATTTTGTCATCATTTACCATCAAAGTAGTCTATATGACTCTATATGCTATATTCCAGCCATCTGAAATCATACATTAATGTTTATATGGAATAGACCTTAATTTAAAGGAAAAGTTCACCCAAAAATTAAAAGTCTGTTATTAATTACTCACCCTGATGTCGGAACACAAATTAAGATATTTTTGATGAAATCCAAGAGCTTTCTGACCTGCATAGACAACAACGCAAGTGACATGTTCAAGGCCCAGAAAGGTAGTAAAGACATCGTTAAAATAGTCCATGTGACGTCAGTGGTTCAACCGTAATTTTATGAAGCTCGGAGAATGCTTTTTTGTGCGCAAAGAAAACAAAAATTATATTGAAGTTTGATTTCATCAAAATTATCTTAATTTGTGTTCCAATGATGAACAAAGGTCTTGCGGGTTTGAAACAACACGAGGGTAAGTAATTAATGACAGACTTTTCATTTTTAGGTGAACTATCCCTTTAAGTAGTTATTTGCTAAAAAAATTTTCCCATCGACCACAGCTGTCAACTCTTGGTCACGTTTTTGTGCATTTAAATTTTCCCCTTTGCGACTGGTTATGAGACCCATTAATAGTAATGCCATTTGGTGTCATTTATGTCAAACCTAGAGCAAAATATCTTGGTGCGCTATATTTGAAAATACGCAAACACAAATGACATTTGAAAGCTATAGCTGAAATAAGATTATCAGTGAGCAATGGCATACATTTCAGTCTAGTCATCGATCAAATTATAATGCCCTATAAGACTTGGAATATAGTTCAAAACTCATACGGTCTACTTTTATGATACCTTTATATTGCTT